AAAAGCGGTGCTTAACAACCGCTATCTAAGGTCACGCGACTATGTAGAAAAATGAGATCATTTGATCGATTATTTTAGGTTATAATCGATCATTAACATACATAAGACAGCGGTTTAGTTTTAACCGCTATCTAATATATTTTGTTAAAAGCGGTTCTTATCAACCGCTATCTAAGACCGCTTCGTGACTCTGAGTCAGATTCGCTCAAGCGACTATATAATCGCTTGAGCGAAAGTTGAATATTATATGTGGTGAACCAAGATTTATTAGATGGCTAACTGTGTAGAACGTTTCGTCTGTGGTTTACCAGTCGCTCAAGCGAGGATAACACCGCTTGAGCGATATTAGAAAAATGAGATAATATGATCGATTACTTTAGGTTATACTCGATTATTAACATTTCTTAGACAGAGGTTTAAATTTAATTGCTATCTAACATATGCTTATCTAATGTCGCGTTCAGAGGCGCTCAAGCGACTAATTAATCGCTTGAGCGACAGCTGAATCTTATATGTGGTGAACCAAGATTTATTAGATGGTTAACTGCGTAGGACGTTTCATCAGTGGTTCACCACTCGCTCAAGCGAGGATGACATCGCTTGAGCGATGGAACCTTAACCAATAGGGACACTCGGCTTCTATATCGCTCAAGCGACGTTCTGAACGCTTGAGCGAAAAGTGAGTACAATATGTGGTGAACCAACTTAAATTATTTGGCTAACTGCGTTTGACGTTTCGTCATTGGGTATAAACTCGCTCAAGCGATAAAGGTTTCGCTCGAGCGACGCAGCCTTCAAACAAGGGAGACTCTCGGGTTCTATCTCGCTCAAGCGACGTTTTGAACGCTTGAGCGAAAAGTGATTCTAATATGTGGTGAACCAACTTAAATTATTTGGTTAACTGCGTTTCACGTTTCGTCATCGGGTATAAACTCGCTCAAGCGATAAAGTTATCGCTCGAGCGACGCAACCTTCAAACAATTGAGACTCTCGGGTTCTTTATCGCTCAAGCGATTTTGTAACCGCTCGAGCGAAAAGTGGTATATGATCGGTTATATTTTGCTAATGAAGTCAAATCCGTTATTGACAAAGTATTGGGTGTCAAGGACCTTTGGGGGTATGACCTCCTTCGTGGTCACAGTTTGGGTACTTGAAGAAGTCGCTTCTGAGTGGGTGCGCTTCGAGCTTCCCAGTGGCAGAATTGTTGCACTGAAAAAGCTTCACAAAGCAGAATCTGAAAATCCATCCTTTTACAAGAGCTTTTGCAACGAGACCAAGATCTTGACAGAAATTCGCCATCGTAAGAATTTATGATGTGGAAGCTCAAGAGCTGAATTGGAGAAAGAGGATAAATATTGTTAAAGGGATAGCCTATGGCTTGGAGTTTAGGATGATCGATCAGAATACAATTATGACCGATCAGAATAGGATATGATCGATCAGAACTGAATTATGACCGATCAGAACTCTTTTAATCGATTAAATCTCGTTTCAATCGATTAAAACTTATTTTTATCAGTTAAAATAATTTGAGAAGTTTTACAAGAAAGTTTTGCAGTATTTCAATCGATTGAATCACGAAACAATCGATTATCAACTTAGAAGATTTTTTTGTAAAGTGTTTTAATTGATACAAACGTTGTCGTATCGAGTTAAAACAAATCATGTTAAAGAATCAAGAACGTATTAATGGATTAAAAAAGTTTTAACAGATTAAAACTGCACTTTTAACAGATTAAAAGAATCTTTTAACAGATTAATTAAACCAGCAGTTGTGAAAATGTTCTATAAAAACAGAGTTGCTTGAACTTTTTAAACACACATTGAATATCATCTTTTACACATCCTTGAGCAATCAATAAAGCAAACTTCAGCTGGGTTCTCTGCAGCTGGAATTTGGTTGTAGAGGTTATCAAGAACTGGAATTTGGTTCTTGGTGAGAGGTTGTTTGCAGGAACTGGAATTTGGTTCTTGTGGTAGATTAAGTGTAAGATTGTAAATCTGTAAAACATTTGATCTAGTGGAACCCAGCTGGAATTTGGTGGACGTAGGCCTGGTATTGGGTGAACCAGTATAAAACACCGGTGATATTAGATAATCTGTTATTTGCGAAAAACTTTTAAAGAACAACTCACCCCCCCCCCCTCATTTAGATAGCGGTTATTTGGCCAACCGCTATCTGAACTATACATTATGATCGATTATTATCCAATTATAATCGATCAGTTTTATATATGACTTTAGATAGCGGTTATTTGGCCAACCGCTATCTGAGCTATGCATTATGATCGATTATTACCCAATTATAATCGATCAGTTTTATATATGACTTTAGATAGCGGTTATTTGGCCAACCGCTATCTGAACTATGCATTATGATCGATTATTACCCAATTATAATCGATCAGTTATATATATGACTTAAGATAGCGGTTAATTGGCCAACTGCTATCTGAACTATACATTATGACTTTAGATAGCGGTTATTTGCCTAACCGCTATCTGAACTACATTTATTATAGCGGTTATTTTGCCAACCGCTATCTAAGGTCGCCTCGCGCTCGAGCGACTATGTAATCGCTTGAGCGAAAGTGACAGTTGAACCTTTACCAATTGAAAGTAAACTCCTGCAAATCCTGGAAGGAGAAAAGTGTACCCTTGAGTTACTTTTTCTCATATGAGCTCGTACAAAGGCGCCAAGAGCTTTCTTATTCACTCTTGGCGGGGATTACTACTGGGAAACCAAACGAAAGGAGCGAAAACTTTTTATGTGCTGTTGGCTGCTTGGGCGCTTACTCTGCTCTCGTCTATGCCCTTGGTGTGACGCAGCTGGGTATCGATTTCACTGGTCCCGTCTTTGCTCTACAAACTCATGGAAAGGCAGGAGCCTGGAAGCCAGGAAGAACGACCCCTTCAATTCTTCTATAACATCCCCCATTTTTATAATATTACATATCTGAACCCATACAATTTTACTAATCAAACCCTTATTTTTAATTAATTTCTTTTTAGTCCCGGTTGTCTAACAGTTGTTTGTTTTCGGTTGTCAAAGAATCGTTTTCCAAGTTGTTCTCATAAAAAAGTAGGAATATTAATTTTAGTTGGACTATGTGGTGACGTGGCATGCACTCCTTCTGCCACGTCAACAGTGAAGAGTTTCGGAAATGTGAATTTGTTTCGTTGCTAATCGTGGAGATCGCTATGACTCCCAAGCAACATCCATAAAATATTCATTTATAATGTACTGTGACACTGTTTTTGTTTTTTTTTTTTTGTTTTTTTTTTTTTTTTGTGTGTGTTAATCAAAAAGTTCTTATAATGCTTTGTTTTTCTTTCTTTTGCTTTGTTTGAAGATGAGTTTGGGATGACCAAACTATTTAATAATGTTTGTGGAGACTGTAGCAAGCTGTGAATGGAACACTCTAGACCAATGTTCAAAACTTGTTAGGTTTCTCACTTTTTGTTTTCTTTTTATTCATTTAAAATGTGTTTTCATCAAGAATTATCAACTTTCCACTGCACCAAATTTGAATATATTCTTTTGGATTCCAATTTCCAACCAAGTAAAGGTCAACGGAAAATAACAACTTTAAAAATCGTTTAAATAACTCTTCGTCGCCAGAAAATGGTTCCATATTTTTTTTTAATTTTTAATATTTTTTATTTTGATTATTATTATTATTATTATTATTATTATTATTATTATTATTATTTATTCACGTCTGCTTCCTTAGTTGATACGTGCCTTTTATTTTATTTTTAAATCTCAATAAAATTTTATCTCTATTTTAGTTTCTATCATTTGTTCATAGTTTAATGAATCACTATTAAATGATAGAACTTACACATAAAATTATTTTTTTAAAAGGAAAAAATAATTAATATAATATAAACACTATCATTTTTTTCTTAAATAACGGTTTATATCACTATTTTTTATTCTTTATTTAAAAGTGAAATCTAAAATAAAGAATCAATGAAAAATCTTATATTTATTAATTTATTCGGTTTGGATTGAAGAATAAATACGAGAAAAAAAGATAAGATTGTTTGAATGAAAAGAAATAAGTAAAAAAATTATAAAAGATGATTAATTTAATTGATTAAAATATTGTTTTAAATAAATATATTTATTATTTTAATATTTTTATTTAGTTATTATAATAATCTAAAAATAAAAAAAATAATATTTTAAAAAAATAAAATATAATTGATTGTGCCTCTCTCACTATTTCTTTTCTTTGGATGTTAAATAAAAAAGAGAAAAAAAATTTCTACGTTTTCATTGTCTTATTTTCCATATATTCTTTTCTTCATTCATCTCCTCTCCTTATTTTTTGAATGTTTTTAAATATTTAGAATTTAGGGTTTTACTTGGGAGTTCTTTATTAATAAAAACGATATTTAATATAAGCTCCAACTTATACAAGAATATGTCATTAGAGTTCGTTGAGTTGACATCCATACGTTTTAAAAATAAGAACAAGCTCTTATATAATAAAATATGGTAATAAATAATATTTAATCATAATATTTAAATCATTTTTTTTAGTTGTTCATTGTAGTTTGACTTTATTGTTGAAGAATAATTAATTATGCGTATGAATGAACATAATGCAATATCAATTATGTAGGCAATACGAGAGCATAATAGATTTCCATAAAAATAAATTAAAGGTAAAATAATTATCCATAAAAATTCTCACTTTTTTTTTTCTCATCTTTCCAATCAAACACGTGATTATCTAAACTAAAGAATCTTCAACTGAAGAGTTTGACAACAATGATTCCATGAACATCAAATTTCAATGAATTATGTAAAATAAATGCAATTTACAGGCACGAACTTACTTTCCGATTGGAAAAATCTCTGTTTAATTCAAAAGTTTGTCTTCTGTATAAGCAATAAATATTTGCATTAATTATCCAGCCCTAGAACAAAGTAGATACAAAATTTGACATTCTTATAGAACTCAACATTTACTTTTTGTATCAAAGGATCAAACTGTCAGCAACTCCTGAAATAATGGGAGAAGAAGTTACTTGTCAAATCCCAAATACTTAAATAAAAATTGGGAAGTATAGAAATAAAACTTGAAAGCAGTTAACATCAATAATAGATGAGATATTATATAATGAGGAAAACTCAAGTTACTCCAAGAATAACTACATTTTCTTTTAATCAAACAATTCTAAGGCGTAACTTATTCTTCATATGGCAAAATAAATTATCATATCGAGATTTTATTACCCTCTTCATTAAAGAGGATTTTTCATCACTTATCCTGAAACTATTAAATTAAAAGATAACTAAAGATGAAGATAGATAATAACACTTAATCAGATACCTTTAGAATGGCTCTAATGTGATGGACATAAAAAAATGGGAAACAAATCATAGAAGCAATTGCGAAAGTAGAAATTATACGTGTTTAAGCATCTCGTTAATCAACCATCTGTTATAAGCTGCTATTAATACACATCAGTTAAGTAGAAATTATATAGTACCTTTTCTTTCTGTTTGAAGATGGCATCAACTTTCTTCATATACTCATCTGTCAGCTTCTACATAACAAAATAATTACCGTGAGGAAAATAAAGGAAGCCAAAAATAAAGTGCTTGCTACAATATAATATGAAGATCATCCCCAAGGTATAATGAAAGACAAAGAAAAGTTGTCTAGTCCACAACTAACAAAAAGTTAATTACAATATTTATACATGCAGAACCAAACATTTTCACACCAAGTTGGCCATGCACACCTCCATGAAGGTAATGCAAAGCAGGCAAAATTCACTCTCTTTAATTGGGGGCAAGGGATTCCCTTCGTCACATTGTTAATTGCACGTTGCAGACTGGGCTTGCAATTGTTCCATTCCATTTCACACATTTGCCCCATCCCCAACTGGAATTTTAAAAATGGAGTAAAAATACATAGAACCTTATATAAGTGCTCTCATGTTACCTGCAAATCACTTGATAAATCCTTCACATTATCTTCGGAGAGCTTTTTCTCCTATCAGAAAATTCCAACAAAATGATTGATACAAAAACTCTAACAATCTGAAAAAGGAGGAAAATGGCCCACAACACTAGAAATAAATCACTAGAGAGTGTTAAGGTGAGTAATTAGAGGATTCAAACCTTCTCAAGTTTGTCATAAGCTTTCAATGCTTCTCTTCTTATATTTCTCAAAGCCACCTACCAAAAAAATGAAAATACACAATCACTCAAAAGGAAATTACAAACAGGTGCAATTCAGTCAACATATTCATTGTTTATTCTAGAAGCATACAAGATATATACTTATATCGTTATATGATTTACTTAGGAACATTATAGTACCACAATAAAACAGTACATACTTGCCAGGTTAGTACCTTTAATGATTCACTTTATTAACGCTTACTCTTCACCAGATTACAACTAGAAGTTTCAGAATAACAGGAAAGGAAACAAAATATGGTATTTACATTTCGAAAATTGGCTGATGTTTGTTCCTTCTTAACCATGAAAGAGATTTTATCCTTTTAAGTAAGTCTTCAAATTGGCAATAAACAAGAGCAAACTCGTTATCACAAACTAGTGGAAACATAGTCGCTTAAAATGCCTACCGTGTCCACATTTTTGTATAGTTAATTTATTTTAAAATTTTATTTTATTTTCTCTTTCCACTGTTTAAATATACCCACTTTTTTCTCTTTCTCAGATTTTTACTATTTTCTAAATATATAAATCATAATAACTGTCTTTTCTTTAAACTATAACACTTTTATTTTTTTCTCTCTCGGATTACACCAAAAACAGCTACAAAAGAATCCCCTTTATATATAGTTATAGATGCAAAGCATTTAGAAAACCGTACCTTCCCTTCTTCAGCTTGTTTAGCCACTATTTTCGATAGTTCCTAGAAAAGAAAGCAAAATAAATAAAATTATAGCTTAAGAGCTTGTTTGATTAAGATTGAAGAAAAAAAGTGAATCTATTGGAAAACTTTTCTTTTCCAGAAGCCTATTACTTAGACCTCTACAAAACTTATACACCTTTAGAGGAAAAAATAACAAACAAAAGCAAACCCTAAATTATTCAGATCATCAGATGACAACATGAAAGCAACATATTCATCTAAACCTTCAAAATATTCACTAAAATTTATGTATAGAGGACCTTTATATAAAAATGGTACAATTTCATTAACAGAATAAAATAATAACTAAAAAATTCTATTGGAATTATGCCCAGCAATATGTTAAGCCAACTTTTTTCTTGTAGAGAACAGTTTTCTCATGGGTCACAAATGTATACTATGCCACTTTGTTAATAGCTAAATAAGAAATAGAATCAATTAGGAATAATACTTTCAGTCTGTGAGAGTAAGAATGTCAACTGCAGCATCAATGGAGAGTGAGATCAATGGAACTGGAAAATACCTTCCTCCTTTCAGATGTCAACTGTGGGATGCTCAACCGTATTGATTCTCCATCATTATTTGGAGTCATACCAAGATCAGAGCTAACTATGGCTTTCTCAATAGCCTTCAAGCTAAAAAAATATATAAATAATTAAGAATTTGCTAAGCATTACTCCACACACAGGATAGCACGTCAACATGTTCAACCACAGTTTTAAAACTTGTTTTATGTCATATGAATGAAGAATGCCTCAGATGGGTACACATATTTTCAATAAATAACTACTATACAACAACTAGTGGAGAGAGCAAATGAAGTAAGCCATATGAACCATGACAAGCATCCATACATGAAGTAGAATGGAATTATACAATAATAAGATAGAACAAGATCAGTTTGATGCTTCTATTATGTATTAGTGCATAATACCTTGATTTGTCATATGGCTGTACCAAAAGAGAACTGGCATCAGGAGTACTAATTTGAGCAATGCTCTTCAAGCTAACTGGAGTTCCATAGTATTCCACCTAAAAACAAGTTATGAAACAGCTAATCTACAGGGGAAAAACACTTTACAAAATAAAACTATACATTTTATCGCTTTCATTAGCATTTAGTTAACAAGTGATTACAGTGATATCTGAACTTTCAGCATTGTTTAACCAGATATGATCGAATTCCTAGAAATTAGTTTATGAATAAGTTAATTTTAACTTAAGAATATGCTTTACCAAAATAGACCCATAAAAAGAGATAAATTTCTGACATATAACCCAACAGGCCAAAATGGGGTGGAAGATATGAACCAAATTATACATTTTGTAGACTGTAGTAGAGAAAAAGGTAGGAGATTAAAAGAGTGTGAAAGAGTTGCAAGTATACCTCAATCTTGTCAAGCATGGCGGGATTCGCTCTCCCTGTCCTTATGGAATTGAAATTTGTTCGGACATTATCAATAGTCCTCTCCATCCTACTTTTCTGAGAGAGGGGAATGGATAGAGAGAGATTAAAGAATTGAAGGATGCTAAAAGAAAGAGAAGATTTTTAAGAGACTTACAGCGTCATTCTCAATTGCTGCCTTTTCCGCTTCTATTTCTTCAATAGTAGCAGCCCTCACAAGTGGCGTTCTCCCATGCGAGAACCCTTTGGAAAGGAGGGGTCTTCGAGAAAGAGAGAAGTCACGAGGGAGCTTCAGAGTGGCATAGCTTGCAGAAGAGGAGAAAGAGCGTTTGACGGCGTGAAAGGAGTCGGGAAGGGAGAGAAGGGCTTTGGGAAGGTTTCGGAAGAGGGAGCGGACAGAGGTTGTCGGAGAGAAAGACGTCGCCATGAGAGAGAGACAGACACCCTACGCCTTGTGTTGATGTCCTTGTGGATAACAAGTTTCTCTACTCTTTTCAACACAGTCTTTACCTTTGCCTAAATTGCTATGGTAATTTCATGTCTTTTCTTCTTCACATGTTCATTATATGTGATAATAAAGTTCTAATTTTATCTATGCGGTTTTCCTTTTTGTTTCATCCAAAAATTATCATAATAAAAAAAATTATATAATTTATATATTTCAAAAATAATAAATATATAAGAGAAAAGAATATCAAAACTAATGAAAAAAAATATTGATACATTTAAACCATGAAAAAGGAAAATAAAAAAATATTTAAAAATGTTAAAAAAATAATAATTATATGACAATATAGTATAGATACATCTGTGTTGTTGTTAATAATTATAAAAAAATATTAACAAAATAAAATAAATAATAAAAGAATATTTAACTTAAACATTTGTTTAATTTTAAAAATTTACTTTTTATTTTCATGTTATTATTAATTATTATGATAATATACATAAAAAAATAAAAATAATGAGATAAACTTATATTTCATTAAAAAAAAATACTAGATAAATATGTTTTATGATTACTGGTACCAATCCAATCATATTCGGGATAGATATTGGGTGATCTATTAGGTTAACTAATTAAAAAAATATCACATTTTAATAAAGTGGAATTAGTATATAATTATTATTTTAATTTTATATTTATCATGTATATGTGTTAGGGGTAGTTTTATCTTATTTGAAATTTATAAATTTGTTATCTAAATTTATTTGAGTTGATGATAGAAAAAAAAAAACATATTAGACAATAATCTAACTCAATCTATTAAAAAATAATCGAAGTAGGTCAAAATGGTAGATTGAGTGTAATTTATGTATTTTTGTTAAAGTATCTTATAATTTATTTATATTATTAAATCTAGTTTCCTTGATATTTCTTTGAATGTAATAAATGATATTTCCTTGAATAATTAATTTATTAATAAGAAAAAAACATGTGAGAAAAAAAGAAAAAAAGTACATTTCCTTGAAGATATTTTCACTATCAAGTAAAAACAAATTAAGAAAAGAAAATAATAAAAAAAAGAATATGGTAAAATTTATATTTATTCTTTTAAGAAAAAAATAATATAAAAAAGAAAGGATAATGTTCATTTAAAAATAATAAATAAATTAAAATCAAATATTTGTATGATTATAAAATTATGTCTATAATTATTAATATATTTTATGAAAACAAATAGTTTTTTAAAAATAGCACATTTAAATTAAAATATTAAATTTTTCTATAGTATATTAAAGTATTGAATCAAATATTTACTTGTATATTATTCTTGTTGAGTTAATCTAATATTCTTTCTAAATGTAATAAGCTGTCATGCAGTTAGATAGTTTTCATTTCGACTTTATATACCCTTGTATATACTTCTTTTATTAATAAAAAAGAAAATCATCAGTTTCTCTAATATACTATTTTCTTTATGTTAAAATGTTAGTGTTAATAGTGGTATCCAAAGCTTAGGTTAAAGAGAACCTGTGAAGAGTGGTGTGGTTAGAGTGAACCCATCAAGAAGAGAAGTAAGTTGCATGCAAATACTTCGATGACTGCTAGAGGAATGATTCCAAGTAATCTACCAGTATTTGACAATAAAGGATACGATGATTGGTGTGTCAAAATGAACGCGATCCTTGGTTTCCAAGAGGTGGATGAGATCGTGAAGAAAGGATTAAAAGAACCTTCAAAGAACGACAGAGATGAAGTGAAGAAAACCCCAATGCATATCTGCTGCAATATTCCAGAAGGTTTCAAAAGCTACCACGCCAAAGGAGGTATGAGATATCTTACAAAAAGGCTATGGTAATTCTGAAAAGTAAAGAAAGTTAGGTTGTTGTCTTTACAAAGGCAATATGAAATTTTGTGCATGGGCAAGCAAGAAACAATTATAGAATATATTGGAAGAATACAGGTAATAGTGAATGCGATGAGAGTCTGTGATAAAAACGTAAAAGATTGTTGAAAAGATTCTTAGAACGTTAAGTCCTCAGTATGATCACATAGTTGTTGCGATAGAAGAGTGTAAGGATCTTGAAAATATGAAGGTCGAAGAATTACATAACTCACTGGAATCGCATGAACAGAGGTTGGTTGAGAGAAGAAATGGTGACAAAGACGCAAACCAAGCTTTACAAACTAGAGTTGATCATAAGGTAAAAGGTCGTGGAACTAGAAGAGGTAGAGGACGTTCAAGAGGTGGACGAAGTGGAGGCAGAAAAACAGATTTCTCTAAACAACCTGGAGAAGAAAATAATAACACTCAGAAAGAAACAAACAAGAGAGGAGGAAGACAATCCAGGGGTAGAGGCAGGAAGAATTACAATAAAAGGAATGTTCAGTGTTACATGTGCAACAAATATGGACATTACTCTTCTGAATGTTGGCATAATGAAGCGGTCAAGAAGAATAATAAAGACGATGAAGCACATCTTGCACAGGATAAATGTGACTCTAATTCATATCACATATTGTTAATGAGCACTATGAATCATACAGAAGATGACTCGTGTTGGTATTTGGACACTGACTGTTCAAATCATATGACCGGAAAAAGAGAATGGTTGATAGATCTTGATACAAGTATCAAGAGCAATGTAAAATTTGCAGACAATAGCACGATCATGGCCAAGGGAGCTAACAGAGTGTTAATCACTCGCAAGAACGACAAGACAATGTATATGAACGATGTTCTATATGTACCAACGATGAAAAATAACCTGCTGAGTTTGGGATAACTTTTGGAGAAAGGTTACAATATGTCCATGCAACAAAATTTCATAGAAGTATTTGATAGAAGGCAGTGTTCAGTGCTCAAGGCTCCTCTTGCAAGAAACAGAACATTCAAGGTAAATCTGAATGCTACTGCAGTTCAGTGTTTATCTACCGTTAATATTGAAAAGGAAGGATGGTTATGGCATTATTAATTTGGACATCTGAACTTTAAAAGTTTGGGTCAATTGAATAGCAAAGAAATGGTGAAAGGAGTGTCACTAATATCCATTCCTAACAAAACTTGCGAGGGATGTGTTATTGGGAAGCAAACCAGAAAGGAATTCAAGAAATCTGCACCCAAGAGAGCAAAACAATCTCTTGAAGTTATCTACTCAGATGTGTACGACCCATTTGACATTCTATCACTTGGAGGTAACAAGTATTTTCTAATTTTTGTAGATGAATGGACACGAAAACTTTGGATTTACTTGCTAAAAGAAAAGAAAGAAGTGTTTTCATATTTTGTAAAGTTCTGTTCTTTAGTAGAAAGGCAATCTGGTTTGAAGATAAAAATATTCAGAACTGATGGTGGAGGTGAGTTTAACTCAAAAGAAGTTGATGAGTTTTGTGATTCCAAAGAAATTATACATGAAGTAATTGCTCCATATACACCCCAACATAATGGGTTAGCCGAGAGAAGAAACATGATGTTACTTGACATGACTAGATGCATGATCAAGGGAAAGAAGTTGCCTCATTATTTGTGGGGAGAAGCGGTTTCCACTGTAGCTTATTTGTTTAATATAAGCCCAACAAAGGCACTACCAGATTGCACTCCTGAAGAAGCTTGGTCAGAGACAAACCTTATGTTCATCATTTGAGAATCTTTGAGTCTATTTGCTATAAACATGTACCGAACGAAAGGAGGAAGAAATTAGATGACAAGAGTGAGGCTCTCATTTTAGTTGGCTATCATCCAACAGGAGCTTACAGGTTGTTCAGTCCAGAAAAGAAGCAGATCATTATTAGTAGAGACATAATAGTGGATGAGGCTACAATGTTGAATTGGAAGAAGGTTGAAGCAAACTTACAACCAGATTCTATACCTAGCTTTTTAGAAGATAAAAGTTCTACTGTTGAACAAGTTGCTACAGATGATGGAGTTCATAACAGAAGATCACAAAGAACAAGATTTTCTTCCACCAGACTCTCAAATCATGACGTTTATGCAGACAGTGATATAACCAACTCTGTTGATCTTGTTCATTTTGCATTTTTGGCTGATGCAGATGCTTTGACTTGGAAGCAGGCTCTTGATATAAAATAATGGAAACAAGCAATGATTGAGGAGTTAAAGGCTATTGAAAAAAATAGAACGTGGAAGTTGGTAGATTTGCCATAACATAAACACCCCATTGATGTTAAGTGGGTGTTTAAAACCAAGTATAAACTGGATGGAGAAGTGGCAAAGTTTAAAGCCAGATTGGTTGTAAAAGGTTTTTTACAAAAATCTGGAGTTGATTTTACAGATGTGTTTGCACCTGTTACAAGACTGGAAACTGTGAGATTCACTACAACAAAAACATCAAATAGTGACCGAATTTTCGGTCACTAAATGATCAAAATCGGTCACTAACTAAAATAGTGACCGAAATAGTAAACAACCCAAATCGGTCACTATTTCCTTGGTCACTGATTTCAGTGACCGAATCAGTGACCGATTGAGTTAGTCACTAACAAAAACATTAAAAAATTAAAAATATTTTTTTATAACTCTCTAATCTCCCTTTTATATTCTTTTATAATACATTTTTATTATTTATTATATTTTTTAGATATTAGATTGAAAGAATTGTTACTGGTAGGATTCGAACCCAGTACCTTAGAGTTAGAGACTAATACTCCAACAACTTAGCTACTAGGAATTTTTGATAATAGTTTATAAATAAATTATATTTATATACAAATAAAAATATATATCAGTGTAAATATATAAATATAAAATATATAAATACATATATATATATATATATATATATATATATATATATATATATATATATATATATATATATATATATGGATGTGAGGGCACGCTCGAAGGTGAAAGTGTGTCGAGTAGATTTTTAAAATTTGATGTCAAATTTGTGAGCGGATCTCTTTATATGAGTTTATAATTTAATGACACAATATAATCTTTATAATTTATTTATATAATG